AGAGAGACAGATGGTCTGACCTATACTTTGGTAAGATTAAGTCTCCTAGTGTGACTCAGTGTTATAGAACGGGACCTGTCTTGTGGCTCACGTGCTGGAGATGGACATACTCTGACAGGTTATGCATATCTGTGCACATTGTAGACCACAACAAATCAGATCATCATTTTCAATATGGTCCTCTGACATCCTTTCTCATTATAAAAGACCCTGGTTTTAGTGTGTTTATAACAGTTAATATTCCCTTTTATTTGATTTGGTAGCTATGTAGATCTTTAAGTTCACATATCTTATTAATAGAATAGAATAGAACAGAATATCCTATTAATATCCTGCTTCAATGCTTCATTACAGAATAGTGGTGGCCTTGGGTTTTCCAGATGCCAACAGAACACAGGCCTCATGACTGTGTAACTGTTGCTGAATAACTAGTTTACATTAGCTCAGAGAAAATGATCATCAGAGCAGTGTCCAAAGGATGATTTTTCTTTTTTTTATTTTTTGACACAAAAACTCATGAAATTTTCTATTAAGGTTTAGAAAGCTTTTGGTTGTCATAGATACTTGAAATATAAAGTATGAATTAAGGTCCTAGGCAACATTTTGAGTATTTAATTTTGGAAAGAACAATAATATATATTTGCAACAAAAATCAAGTTTTAAGACATTACTAATAACATTGAGGCTCATTTAAAGTATTTAAAACTTATTTCACAGGCAAAAACATGTTATCTCATAAAACAATGTTATACAGATCCAACTGAATTGAGTTGAAATGTTTTTTTTTTTCAATATGACAGGCAAACATTTGACTTTTTCAATTTCTTTATCCCTCAAATAGGAATATGGAGGACAATCAGACAATAGTGACTGAATTCATTCTGCTGGGGTTTTTTCTTGAACCAAAGATGAAGACATTTCTCTTTGGACTTTTCTCTCTTCTCTATACTCTTACCCTTTTGGGGAATTCAGTGATCTTGGGCCTCATCTGCTTGGACTCTCAACTACACACTCCCATGTATTTCTTCATATCACACTTGGCCATTGTTGACATTTCCTATGCCTCAAATACAGTCCCCCACTTGTTGGGAAACAACCTGGATCCAGTCAAGCCAATCTCCTTTGCAGGATGTTTGACCCAAACCTTTTTCTTTCTAACTTTTGCTCTCACAGAATGTCTTCTCCTCCTGGTAATGAGCTATGATCGGTATGTGGCAATCTGCCACCCTCTCAGATATTCTGTCATCATGAACTGGAAAGTTTGTACTGGACTGGCTATCACACCCTGGGGAAGTGCTGCCTTCTTGGCCCTGGTCAATGTGATTCTCATCCTGACAGTTCCCTTCTGTGGGAATCTGGAAGTCAACCACTTTTTCTGTGAACTTCTATCCATACTCAGGTTGGCTTGTGCCAACATCTGGGTCAACCAGGTCATGGTTTTAATCACTAGTGTTTTATTTTTACTGGGTCCCTTTTGCTTGGTTCTGGTCTCCTACATGCATATCATCTGTGCTATCCTGAGGATCCAGTCTGGGGAAGGACGAAAAAAAGCATTCTCCACCTGCTCCTCCCACCTTTGTGTTGTTGGGCTCTACTTTGGTAGTGGTATTGTCATGTACATGATCCCCAATTCTAGCAATCCTGAGCAGCAGAAGAAAATCCTTTCCCTATTTTATAGTTTCTTCAATCCTACATTGAACCCTCTGATTTATAGCCTGAGGAATGCAGAAGTGAAAGGAGCCCTAAGGAGAGTGTTAGGGAAAGAAAGACCAAAGTGAGGCACTTTGGGGAATATCTAAGTGTACAAAGAAGGGAGGTGATGACGTGAAGTGTGTGGGAGAAGAAGTGGGATCTTTCTCTTCTCTGATAAGTTGGCAGCTTGGTACCTTGAATCTGTAATAAATTCCCTAAAATATTCTGTCTTGCAAAGTTCATATTAAATTTAGATACTTGCTAGTTTCTAATCAAAATCTCTGAGCTAAATTCTGGACTCATTATGCCCTGTGTCATTATCTCTCCTTTTGTCCTTCTAATTTACTCCCAATATTACGTACTATATTGGTATATCATAATATTGTCATCCTTTTTGGTTCCCATATTAGTTGCTCCTTCTACATTGTTTTCCTGCCTCTTCCTATTCCTTTGCCTCTTCACTGTTCTCTTTATCATCCTTATTCAATGCTCCCTATATTCATCTGAAACCAAGAAGATCTATTTTTCACACCATATTCTTAATAAATGTTAGTTGAACAAATGGATAAATATTTCATCTATTCCCTTGCACCTGTTTGAAAAAAAAAAAAAACAAGGAAGAACACTTAGAGAGGGAAAAGGCTACTTCCTGCTAGTCATCTTCAAACATTGCAAAATGATATTTTACTCTAATATTTTAAAACCAAAAATAAGGAAACCTGAGCATTTTTGCATGTGAAAGGACTTTATTCATTCAACCAAAACTTGTCAAGTGCCCAATTATAGGCAAAGTAGAGCCCACCTGAAAAGGAGGGGGGCCAATCACATAGCAAGAACAAAGGATAACAAATGTGAATGGTGCCGTGGTATCCGTGTAATATTAAAAGACTATATGCAAGACTTCCAGTATATTGGGTGAATCTTCTATGAAGACTGAGATGCAATGTGAGCAATCAGGAAAGGGCATTTCCACACTGATTCAAAACACAGATGATTCAATTATCAATCAAGCAACCAGCATTCATTAAGTGCTTACTATGTACCAGGAACTGGTGATACAAATGTTAAAATGAAATACATTCTGCCTTCGTGGATCTTATATTCTACTAAAGGGAACATATCATATTCACAAAGAAGCAGATAAGGGATATATAAAAAAATCAATGCATAGTAATGAAGTCACTAATAACTGAGTAAAACATGAGAAGTCTTTTGAAGGATGTGTGATAAAGTGAGTCTTGAAAGGAGTTAGGAGTTTCAAGAGGCATAAATTTGGAGAGAGACCATTCTAGGTAGATGGCAATATCCAATGTTCTAAAGGTAACTTCCAAATTTAACTTATTATTGCAAATAAATTTAAAAAACTTTTGTTCTGTAACACCAGCTTTAATAAGATCTCCTACAGACACTATAAATAACCTTACTATATCTTTAAGCGGCAATGACATCTGTGATAGTGACAGTTCAAACTTTTTTCCTATGAGTCTATGAGGAGATGGAGAGGTTAACTGTCATTCTGGAGAGACTTATTAGTGACGGCTGAAGAGATGATAGAGGAAAAGGACTGATAATACATTCTTAAGAGAAAAAAGTTAAACTCTTGTATTGTGAAGAAACAACAGAAGCTTTAAATTGACATTCTGAGAGAAATGAATGGTTGGTTCTGTGTTTCTAGAACTGAGGGGAAGTCATCAGTTGTAGTGATGGTTAAAGGTGAGTTTGTAATCTTTCAGATGATACATTGTTAATATTTATTTACATATATATTTTATTATACTCTAAATAAATATTATAACTAATAACCTTGATATTTATTTAAGTCTAAGATTAGGGTGTGTGTGTGTGCGTGAGAGAGAGAGAGGGAGAGAGAGAGAGAGAGAGAGGAGTAAATGCTCATGGGAAAAGAGGTAATCAATTAATAAGAGATATGTAATTTTTATAACTAATAAAAATATCTGAGCATACTCTGATTACTTTATTACCCGGAATAAAAATGAATAAGGAAGATAAGCTAGTTATAGATAGAAAGTTGATCACCTAGGTTGCATGCAAAATTTGACCTTAAAATCCTTGCTACTATTCTTTCTTTAAATCTTCAGTTAAAATCACTCTGTTGGTCTTGATAAAGTTTTATATTATGTGGGTTGTTTGTCTTTGCTTTATATAGTTGGAGAGACATTGAATGAGAAAGGACGATTAATTTCTTCTGTAGACAGAGAAAAGGGTTATTCTTACTAGGGATCATTAAATTAGGAATCACATGGGAGAGTTAGAGGATGTCAGTCATCCTGGGCTTATAAAAACCTGGGAAATTAGGAAGGGCAGGCTTAAAGAACTGAGAGTCTGCTGAACCCACTAGGATGGATCAGTGTCGTTTTATTGCAACTGCTTTGGGGAGCCTTAGAGATGTCCATAGCAGGGAAAAGCAGATTGGTAAGTAGATGTTAAAGCAGTAGGCCTTTATTTGGCAATTTTACTTCATGAAAAGAATATTTATAACTTGACATACCTGTGAGAAAGGGACAAGAATTAATCAAGAAAATAGTCAGTAGTGAAATATGGATACATCTAAAGCTCTGGAGGGGCAGGATATATCCATAATTCAATCAGTGTCAAAAAGCCCAAGTTATAAAAAAGATAAAAATAAAAATAAATAAATAAGAGCCTAAGTTTTGGAAGAGATGATCTTTAGGCTACTACAGGAGGAAGAAGGCAATCAATGATTCAGAGAGAAGCCGTATCTTCACCCAGTGCTCAGGTTTTACCAGGTTCTGAGAACTTCTAGATTGATAGAAGCATTACTGCATTCTGATTCACATGAGGGTGTTTTATAAGGGTGGGAAAGGTCTCTAGCAGGGACATCTGATGGGTTTCTCACTTCTGTTGCCAAAGGTAGAGAGGCACCAATGAATGAGACAACCTAAAAATCTGTCAGTATAGAAGGTACTAGGCATAGTAAATTGTAGCAAAGGGAATGGGGGTGCTAGAATAGGGGAGATAGAATACGTAGAACAGAAACAGCCTTTCATAAGAAAGCCTAGACCCAGAAAACTGGAGAATTTTTCTATCCTGTCACATTACCTCATAAAAAATATCATTCCAGTATGTTCAGTGGACAGGGCCACTATAGAGTCTAGGTATCAAACAAACATACCTGAGACTGTGAAAGAATGTTTAGTCCGCTAAGTACCTCAATGTTTCCTGATCCCTTATATCATCTCAATTGTCCTTTCCACTGAATTCACTAAAAATGAGAATGGATGTGGGGTGCTGGGTGGAGAGGGGAAATCAGAAGAAGAATAGGGTAGAGACAAAGTTGGAGGGTGGGATGAGAGAGAGAGAGAGAGGGAGGGAGAGAGAATATTTTGAGTGACTTTAAGGGCAATCAGGGGTTGAACTGAGACATAGTGCAGGGGTACAGATTACAAGGGAGTGACTATGAAGGAAACAAGTCACTAAGATTACAGTCACAAAGCTATCATTTGACTTGTGACTCACCTTTTTACCACAGTCAATATTAATGTCCCCACCCCCTGACATTGCTCCTAAAGTCAAGCTTTAAACCTGTATCCAGAACTCTGGCTGGTGTTGTTTAATCCCCTTTAGCTAGATCTAAGATAATTAATTCCCACCCACTACTGTACTATCTCTTCTGTACTGTTTTCACTCGAACACTGAACTTCAGACCCTGCTCCATTATCCCTAACCCCAATCCAACTCAATGGCCCATTCCTGAATAACTATTTAGCACACACAAATAAATGAAGATATTACAGGCAATGCTGCCCCTTGAGCAATGACTGAAGAAGTACTTTGTGAAGTGTCAGATCAGTGTTGATCTTTAGGCTTGTGCTTCTTCGATCTGAACATTTGTCACTGCTCCCATTATTATATCTCTTTAGCATTATCATCAACTAAAGGTTAATCTATTACTTTCAGGTACTTTTGTATATTTGGCCAGGGCCTGTGATTTTATTGGTGTAAGGGATTACCAGTGAAGAAACCCCCTCCATCAATGAAGAGTGGCACCAACTCTGTATTAGATAACTTAGAGTCCTGATATGTTGTTCTCATAACACAGAGTTATGAGTCTTGCCCAGTCACATGACCAATATGTGTCAGAGGCAAGATTTTAACCCAGGTCTTCCTGACTCAAAGGCTGCTCTTTTTGTCCCTGCCTCATAATACAGGCATGAAAAGCCCAGTAAAATTCTTCTTAGGCTTCTGTTCTGGATATGTTGTAAGTCAAATCATGTCCCATGCTTAGAATGGTTGGCATCTTTCTAACAACAGGATGGAAGGTCTCTGAAGTGGGCATCATCATTATACTGACACATCAGTGGAGACTGTCTACAAATCAAACTTAGCTGGATAATGGAATGTTTTCATCTAGTGCATCTCTATTATGCGTTTTGATTCTTCTTCAAAGCCATTGTTAGTTCTCTGATTCTTGCAGCCCATTTGACCCTCACTTTTTTGAAAAGACACTAAATGTACTGACCCATAGTTATTATATAATATCATATCATCATAGATCTTGAACTGGAAGGAACCACAAAGGAAGGAACCATATAGCCTTACAATATCATTTTATAGATGAAGAAACTGAGATTCAGGGAAGTGAAATGACTTGGGGAAAAGATAGAGACTTATCCTACATACACAGGGGAAGTATTGGGATCATTAGTGGGATTTTATCCTAGGTTCTCTGACTCCAGTTAGTGTTATTTGTTTGTTGTTGTTGTTGTTTTCACTTTCCATACTGTCCTGCCTATGGTTATTCAGAAAATTCAGGATATGAGAATTTCTGTTCCTTATTCCAAGGCCACAAAATTATTTGATGACCTCATCTCTTACTTCAACAGATGATTGCATTAGTTTTCTGTCCAGTTTTCATGCCTCTCATATTTCCTCTTTCTAGTCCATCTTGACACATCTGCCAAAGTAATCCTTAAAATATAGAGATCTCTGAAATCATGGGGCAACTAGGTGGTGCACTGGATAGAGTGCTGGCCCTGGAGTCAGGAATACTCATCTCCCTGAGTTCAAATCTGGCCTCAGACACTTAACAGCTGTATACTTAACC